AAATATTAATAAATAATAATTATTTAAATTAAATTAAATTTTAAAAAATAATTTTAAAAATATAAAATAAAAAATATTTATTTAAAATTAAAAAGTATTTATTAAATAAAAAGTATTTAGTAAAAACAAATTAAACACTAAACAAAAAAGTTATCCGGATTGTCTGATCCGGTTGTTTGGTCCGCCGATGTCGTAGAAGGTCCGACTCCGGACTGAGGAGTCAGAAATGGGTTGAACGGCATCTCTTGCGCCGTTGGTGGGTCGTCTCGAGGAGAAAATAGCCGGGCGAAAAGTGTCTCGTAACGCGCAATCCGTGCCTCAGCTTCTTCAAGTCTAGCAATCTTCCTGCGATCGTCCTCGAACTCTTGAATCTTTTTCTTCAACAGCTCGACCTCCTTAGTGAGTGAGACGTGGTGACCGATCGATGTTGCATCCGGATGACCACCACCCAACTGAGTCGCCATTGCACCGACGCCGTATATACGTCCTTTGGCATCGGGTTGGACAACCTACAAAATCAAAAGTATACGTCAACTAAAAAAATATAAACTTACCTCCAGATAGAGGCTGTTGATTTCTGATGGCGAAAGTTGATCTTTGCCTGAATCGCATCCTCAATTTCCTGAACCCGATCGCTGATATAAGTACCGTCAGCTCGACGGTGAGTCTCCTGCAGCAATCGCAACGCAGAAGGTTCTTCACCTTCCTTCTGCATCTGCACCCAAAAAATTTAATTAAAAAAATTTAAAAAATTTTTAAAATAAATACTTATTTACTTACTATCTCATGGGCGACTCGAGCAAATGATCTCCGTCCTGCAGTGTGGGTCGGGGGTGCGCGTTCGACCTCCGCTCGGGATCGTCGATTGCTTGAGAATGTTTGACTCTTCTGCGTTCCTTCTTGTGAATCCCAATATTCAACTAGCTGATCGTAGATCGCCGTCGACATCCATGCAGGTCGTACGCGTCTGTTCTTTACCCGATAAATGATGTCCTTGAGGCGATCTCGGACGGCGAGCCTCCAAGCGGCGTAGACTCGGTCATGAACAGACTCGTCCCAATAATAAGCTTGCTATAAAAAAAATAAATTTACAATTTTGTATGCATATAAAATTGAACTAAGTGCCAAAATTCTTACCGCAAAAGCCTCAAACCAACGCTGCAGATCAGACCATTCACGGATTGGGGGGAAGCCGCACCCGTGAAAGGTACATCAAGTCGAGGAGGATCGACTACCACCTGATCCCGATGGACAGATGGTGATCTAGATGATCCGATCCCACGTCCTCGGGATCGTACCCCGCTACCACTACGACCACTAGAATGGGAGTGACTCATCTACAAGTTACATATAACAAAACAAAATCATGAAAACCCGTGAAGTAGCAGTAAACCATAAACCCTAAACCGTAAACCCTAAACACTAAAGAAACCCTAAAATCTACAACCCTAAACCCTAAACCCTAAACCCTAAAATAACCCTAAACCCTAAACCCGTGAAGTAGCAGTACTGCTCCTGCTGATATCAATATCCTTAGGGACTGTCTCATTCACGCCAAGATGTTCTCTTTGTCGGTCTTGTCCAAAGCGTATTTTATCCTTCCCTCTGTTTTGATCTCTCCAAACTCGCGATCCCTCACCATTGTTGCAAGATTTTCGGTTCTTGAATACTTTGTCATTCGGTTCTTCATGTCGAGACCTGAACTCCATGGAGAAAGGGCAGTGAACAAGGATGGTCCAAAAGTCGGTGTTGCTATAAGTGCTCTAACTTTAGAATCTTCTGATAAGACCTTATTGGCTGATGTAATTATCCCGCCCTCGTAGATATTTCCTTTGAGATGAGAGGTTTCCTTTTCTGGGAAGTACCCCCATGCAACTTGAGCAGGATGCAGATGAAGGTTCCGACCTATGTTACGATTCTTTAAACCGCTTCTGATCATCAATGGAGGTGTTAAGAGAGCCCCACATGCCACAACTGTTACTTTGGCTTCGATCTGCAGTTTCTTTGATACGTGTCCAATTAAAGTTTTCGCCATCACTCCCAAGCACTTCATCTTCTTTCCATTGAAATCTTTGTCCATATTCTTTTCTATAATTAGTCTCTCGGCTTTACATCCCGTTAAGACAACAGCCCCGTGATTCACCGCATCTAATAACCATGTCCGATCACTTCCTTGTTTGTCCCCTTGTTTGCAACCATAGAAACACGATCCACAGTAATGATTCTCTGAGGAGTTTCGTGGCACATTCACTACTTTGAGTCCGAGATTTAGACACCCTTTTCTCAGAACTTGATTCTGAAAGCTCTCCTCATTGCATCTATAAGTTACACCGATCCTCTTGCTCACTGCATCCAAGGCCGAGACATATTCTTGAGTCCCGAAAAACGGTATTTTGTGATCTTTAACCCATTCTTGAAGCACGGATTCAGGGGTTTTGATACAGGCCGACCAACTCAAAGCTGAGCCCCCACCTATGGTTGCTCCAGCTAGGATCATGAGATTTCCATCAACAGTTGGGAGGACACGTCCTGATTCATACAGTTGGCTCAATCCAGGACCCTCCAAAGGGTTGTACTCAGAAGGTGCAAAGTATCTTCCTTTCTCGAGAATCACCACTTTCAGACCAGCACTTGCTAGAATAGCGGCCGCCACTCCTCCCCCTGAACCAGAACCAACGATGACAGCATCACATTTGATCTTGATCGGATCATGGTTCGAACCAGAAGTTACTTCTAGGCCTTTCTCCGACAGTGATTTGGGAAGAGTTAAGTCTGTCTCTTTCATTGTCTCTACCATTCCTTTCTCAAGAGGTCTCTCTTTCAGAATGTTGGAGGTTTTGCTCTCTTCGAGGTTCACCTGGTACTGAATGGCCTCCCATGCCGGGTTTTCACCATTCAGACCGACCTACACCAATTCAACGGACTGTTCAGAAAATCTATATTGCTTTGTGGTTTTATATTTTCTGACAACTCGTCCAGAAAGGAGCGCTTTTCCTTGTCTTGGTTTTGTCTTAGTGAGAAACGCAAGCGTAGATTACGACAAAAAGAATTCATGAGCAAACACCACGGCTTACTTGCGACTCAAGAAAAGACAAAGGAAAACAGATGATTTGTCCGTACCCAAGAGAAGAAACAGAAGAGAAAAGTGACTTTGATGTAGACGAAGGCTACTCTTATGGCAGCCAAAAGCTTGTTTCTGAACCATTTCTGAAGAACCCTTTCCCTCTTCTCCAACGAGAGGCTTCCAAATCTTTCGACAAAAGGCCAGTTCGTGACCAAACAGTGGGTCCCGCAGAGGACTAGAGTTCCGAGCCTTGAGGACAGTAGAAGTAAAACCAGTCTCACTCCAAGCACTACTTCTATTAGCCCCCGTTTTGTAATTAACTCGACGGTCTTTAATTTACATTAAATTTGTGAATTCAGGTCCAAAAACGAAGATTTTCGATTCGAACCATACAATTACCAACAAAAAAAAATTGAGGGAGAAGTGATGTGAACCTGTTGTAGAACATGGGATTGAGACCCCGACTTTGTGTAGAAAGACTTGAGAGCCTCCTTCTTTGGATGATCATCTTCCCCGGCATCGGAATATTCCGGCGACAGAGGAGGTAATATCGTCTCGCACACGGCGGCAAGTGATTCCATCTCCGTCGCCGTGAATCCACGGCGAAAGAATTTTCCGGCGTCTATCTTCTCACTCATCATGGATATTAATTATAATGCGTTGTTTGAAGAACTATGGGAAATGTTAAAGGTGCATTTGCATTGCATCTATATTTATATACTGACAGATCTATGGATCGATTAGAACATCTAAGTAAATAATATGTGTAACATATTTTTAGTGATTGTGGCATTTAAAATTTTCTACATCTTAAGGGGAAAAAAAATACTTGCAAGTTTTCTTTTAAATGCTCGCAAGACTTCTCTCTCTAAAAGTCGTTGTATATTTTGTCATCCAATAATATATTTCCTTTTTTTTCATCAAGTATTTGTTATGTTAGGTTTGATATCTAACCAAGATATTGTTAAAATTAAAATCAAATATAAAGTTAGTATTTTGATTGGATAGAAAAATAAATAAATTTTCTATTTATTTGGTCCTATCATATGATTTAGTATTTGTTTAGATATCAAAATATAAAAATAATATCATTTTTTCGATAGGATTATTAAGAATTGCTTTCCACGTTTTCGAAAAAGGTTTTATATTAAACAGAAAAAGCGAATGATATTTAGGTTTTAAAGTATACAAAAAGATATAATATCACATTGAAAATTTCGATTTTCAAGAAACAAAAAATGATTTTTGGGATAATAATTCATTTTTAATAGAAGAAAATGGTAACAAAAAATTATCTTCATTCAGAAAAACACCCAACATGGGTGGAGATCAAACATCTATCTGGAACAAAAAACTAATAATTATAAAGGACATTCAATGTGAAACTTTGAGAAACTTTGAATTTTAAAAATTACAACGTTTTAATGACATTTTAAATTTAAGTTGACAAAAACAAATCGAAAATTAAAATTTACGTGGACTTATAAAGGAACATTTAAAATTTAAAATTAAAGAAAAAGAGAGTTAACTGAAAGTAATACGCTTGATCTAATTCTAGAAATCATACCAAGTGAACACAATTGAAAACTAACCGGTTTTCAAAATCTGGTTTAGACCGGTTTGTTCATAATTTCAGCCAGAACCAAGATCTGGCGAACAACGTATCAAAAGATGAAGCACTACAACAGTTTCTTCCCCTGAAAACACTGCAAGAGGATTGAATTGGAACAATCAATTTAAAGAAAAACTTCCATCAATTTGACATATGGAGCACAAATATTAAAGAAATCCACCAAATACAATAAATCTATTGATTAAAATCACCTGGGATCGGTTTGAACATGTACGAGCAACAAAGCAAATCTTAAAAGAGTTTAAAGCAGATTGATTCCAGTTCCGAAAAAGGGCAGAACTGAGAGTTTTAAGATAAAAACTGGCTTAGAAGAGAGATGTTCCCTTGCCCTTCTTGTCTCCACCGATCTCGAAGTGCTTACATCTCTGAACAAACAAAACGAAAACGTTAAATGGCCTGAACTGAAAGCTAGATATTCGATAATGACTAGCGAAAATGCTCAAGATTAATTTACCTTGATCGGATGCTGGGAGACATGCTTGCAGCTCTGGCACTGAAGCCTTAGAACAATCTTCTTCGTCGTCTTGGCCTGTTTTAGATTGATAAAGATTAACATATCGAAAACCCAGACAATACAAATCAGCTAAAACTAGACATAGCGTAACACATTAGAAGACAGATCCAACTAAACAAACCATTAGATAGCAAAACACTCCATCAACAGATCATAAAGGATTCATCGACCGGTATAATCCAAACCCTACCTTCTTGTGGAAGACAGGTTTGGTCTGACCACCATAACCAGATTGCTTACGATCATAACGACGTTTCCCTTGAGCAGCAAGACTGTCTTTTCCCTTCTTGTACTGGGTCACCTTGTGCAATGTATGCTTCTTGCATTCCTTGTTCTTGCAGTACGTCTTCTTTGTCTTGGGAACGTTCACCTACAACACAAAAAACATATACCATTTCACAAATATTTCATTTCAGGAACGAACATTGAAGTCATCAGTCACAGTAGCAATTCTAGAACAGATACCCAGACCCTTTTTTGGGATATCCTCAGATCTTGAGAAATCGGACAGGAATCAGTTCTAGAACAAAAACTCAGAACACATGGTACACCCTCAAATCTTGGAAAAGCATCTTCCTTTCTAACACTTTCAATGAATTCGGACAGGAAGCAACACATGCTCTCAAACTTAACCTTGATTTTCTTCCTCTTTCATTCAAATATCATCACTGGTTTCTAAACCCAAAATTGATAAGCGAGAAAAACAAATCCATAAATCTAAACCATTTTGATGAGCAATCAATAATAAAGCTCGAGATTCACGAGATATTTGTAGTGAATACCAAATAAGAAGATTGCTTCACAAAAAAAAAGGGGGGGTTGACATTTTCAGAAGCCCTACAATTTCCTCAACAATACCTCGCTAACCAAACAGAACCCTAACAAAGACTAAAGATTTTACACAGACAATAAGATTCATTGGCAGCAAACGCAAAGAAGAAGGCAAAATCAATTACCATTTTCGCGTATCGTATTCAACTTTCGCTGCTCCGGTGAAGTTCGTCGCTTCTGCGGCCGCTAAGGCTTGAAGAAAATGATTTATAGTGAGTGCTTTTCAGAAGCCCTAACGCCCTTTTTTTAATTACCGAATTTGCCCTTCTCTTAATTCACATACTTTGGGCTTTCTGGTAATAAAGAAGGCCCAATAGTTGACCCATATTAAGCCTAAGCCCAGTAGTGAGGAATTTTCACTTTTTTAGAAAGGAAAAAATATTTTGGCTCCCAAAAGAATTTAAAAAGATTATTTTATTTCGTTGGCTCGTGAACAAAAAATAGCCGTTGAACATCTAACGGCTATTTTCTTTTTGTTTGAACTTCAAAAATCAACCCTAATTCCCAATTTCATCATCTTCCAAAATCTCTCCTCTCTCTCTCTCTCTCTCTCTCTCTATCTGTAGCCCCGTCTCTGAATCTTAAAGAAACACTGAAGTCGATATCTGAAAAGCTTCAAAAATGGCACCGACGCCATCTTCTGCTCGATCGAATCAAACCCATCTAACCCTAATCAGAACCCCACAGACCAAACACCGACTCAATTTTCACTCCACCGCCGCAAGAACCGCAAATCTCGATGGCGGAGGCAACCACGCGCCGCCGGAGCACCCAGTTGAAGTCATCGGCCGAATTCGAGATTACCCAGATCGGAAGGAGAAGCCGGCGTCGATCTTGCAGGCGAACCCGGATAATCAGACGATCCGTGTCCGGGCCGAAATGGGATACCGAGATTTCACCCTCGACGGGGTCTCGCTGTCGGAAAACGAGGACCTTGAGGCGTTCTATAGGAAATTCATAGAGGAGAGGATAAAGGGTGTGAAACTCGGGAACAAATGCACGGTAATGATGTACGGACCGACCGGTTCAGGCAAGAGTCACACGATGTTCGGATGTGGGAAGCAACCAGGGATTGTCTACAGGTCCTTGAAAGACATTTTGGGGGATGCGGAACAAGATGGTGAAAGAGAAGGGGTTACATTTGTTCAGGTCACTGTGTTGGAGATATATAACGAGGAAATCTACGATCTTCTATCCTGTAACAATGGCAGCGGATTTATGGGATGGCCTAAGGGAGGCAACGGGTCTAAGGTAACTAAGTTTCCCTGATTTTTTTGTCTCATTTCTGTTTCCAATTCGTCGAATTAGTTTGATTTTGTAAATATGTGATAAGAATGAGGGAAAATCTATACTACAAGCATAGGTTCTGATAGTCATAGGCTTAGATTCGAACTTAGTGATCAGACTTTTTGTGGATTTGTCTGTTGAGGTTGAAAGTAGTTACAAGGATGTTGTTCAAAGGATGTGTTCGGTTATACAGTAAGAATTTATGACAGGATAGAGTTCTGTTGATATGTTTTTTCAAGACTTATGCTTCAAACGTTTACAGGTCAAGCTCGAAGTAATGGGTAAAAAGGCCAAAAACGCAACCTTCATTTCAGGGACTGAAGCTGGAAAAATCTCGAAAGAAATCCAGAAAGTAGAGAAACGGAGAATCATCAAAAGCACACTTTGCAATGATAGAAGTTCCAGGAGTCACTGCATGGTGTGTGTTTTTTCAGTAACCAACATATAGCCCTTTGTAGTTTCTGTTGTGAAAATTGAACTAAGGATATGTCTCTTTGAGCAGATTATACTCGATGTTCCTACGGTTGGAGGGAGATTGATGCTCGTTGATATGGCCGGTTCTGAAAATATAGACCAAGCTGGGCAGACAGGGTTTGAAGCAAAGATGCAAGTAATGCTGATGATGATGATGATGATCCTCTTTGTTTTTCTTTTTTAATGCATAAGATCTGTGAAGCCATTACGGTTGTGTAATTAACTGATGTCTCTGTTCGACAGACTGCTAAGATCAACCAGGGGAATATCGCGCTGAAGAGGGTCGTGGAATCCATAGCAAATGGAGATTCACATGTGCCCTTTAGAGACAGCAAGTTGACCATGTTGCTCCAAGTGCGATGTGTTCTATGTTGTTTGTGTGGCCTTTGTCCTTTTTATTGGCTTTTGTCCAATATTGATGTTGTCTGTTTGGATGCAGGATTCTTTCGAAGATGACAAGTCGAAGATTCTAATGATACTCTGTGCAAGCCCGGACCCGAAAGAAATATACAAGACTGTTTGCACGCTCGAGTACGGTGCCAAAGCAAAGTGCATAGTTCGGGGGCCTCACACTCCGAATAAGGATAAGAACGGTGGTGATGAGTCTTCTTCTACAGTTATATTAGGTTCAAGGATAGCTGCCATGGATGAATTCATTCACAAGCTCCAAGTTGAGAAGAACCAGAAAGAAAAAGAGAGAGTCAATGCACAAAATCAGCTCAAGAAGAAAGAAGGAGAAGTTGCTGCCTTGCGAGAGCTTCTACAACAGAAGGAAGCATCTGCTGCTAGTGAAGAGGAGATAAACAATCTGTTTGATGCTTTACTCTACAGTGACGCTTGCTGCTTCTAGATTTCCTTGTGTTCTCTGTTTCTGATCATTTCATGGCTCTGTTCAACAACTGTTTACTTTATTCTCAAGTTTGATGCTCTTCACCATCTTAGAATGGCTTCTTGTTCTCTAATTTCCGATAATTAGCCAACCCTTTTGCTGAAATGTTTGATCTTTCAAGTTTTGGAATTTCTCGACAAGAATAGAACTGCTTCCTTACCTGCAAGTAGTTTCAGATGTTGTGTTTCTATATTGCTGATTAACGTTCGATTTGAGGTCATCAAGACATTAGAAGTGAAACTCAAGAAGTCCGATAAGATCAAGAGGATTAAAGAATTGATTCAGGAGACGAATGCCGAAGAATGGCAGAGGAGTTTGTTGAGATGGAGAGACGGAGAATGGAGGAGAGGATTCTGCAGCAGCAAGAAGAAGTGGAGATGATGAGGAGACGGTTAGAGGAAATCGAGTTGGAGTTTCGAAATTCGAGGGAGGGAAACGGTGATGAAACTAGCGGGTTTGCTAAAAGGCTCATGAGTCTTTACTCTGACGAAGATCCGGGTATGGTGAAATCAATGGACCTTGACATGGGTGATCAAGAACCGTTGATCCGGGATGTCAAGCAAGTCGGTTTAATCAACTTTTCTCAGCAAAAGCCTTCAAATGAGGTGAGTGAGATGTTTGCACAGAAGTACCCTGACCGTGTATGCCTTAGCACCGTCTTCGAGGAGGAAGAGGCTGAAGAAGAAGAAGATGAGGAGAAAGTGATAGTTGAGGATAATGGCATCTGCTCAATAACTTCTGGTAAAGAAAACTGCTTCAACATGACAGAAGACAAAGATCTTGCCTCATCTAGAAAGAAGAGAATTCAGAACATATTCACCCTTTGCGGCAACCAAAGAGAGCTGTGTCACCATACCGGACAGCATGAAGCATCCGATAAGGAATCACCCGAAAAACCAGATGCTCAACTGTCAACCATAACCAAAAAGGCCGAAGCTTTTGCAGAAGAATCAAAGGAAAACTACGATTTTCCAGATGAAAGCGAAAACGATGAGCAGATAGAAGTAAACGTGAGATGGGAAGAGCCTAAAGAGAATCCCGGAAAGCTCATCACAACGCTGAGAGTAACAAAGGATGCAACACTAAATGATCTGAGGAAGCTCATTGAAATCTACCTCGGTTCAGACAACCAAGCCTTCACCTTTGTTGTCCCTGAGGTAAAAAAAAATGCCTAATCTTTCCAACCAAACACAAAGCTTAAATCAGTTGTTAACCATGATTCTGATGATGCTTCATCTTACTGTGCAGGAACCTTCCGGATCTATAGTCGCGAAAGAGAAAGAATCGACGGTCAAAGCCACAAAGCTGCCAAGCTGCAATGGCCGCCGCCACTCTTACACTGCTACACTGAGACAGGTAAAGAGCCTCCAGAATCAAACCTTCACTGTTCAGGCAAGCCCAGTTCCGTTTACTCCAATAGGGAACAAAATGCCACTTTCACCCATCTCGAGATTTTCGCCGAACCAAGGCGATGAATTGTCGCCAAACCTCGTGGCCCATCTCAGTTCCACACCGTTTGTCACCCGCAGAAGGCATTAGCCGGAGAGCTTGAAAGGGTGTAACACCTTTTGTCTATATTTCAGTGTCAGGGGCCACAGTTTCTGTATTCTTTTTGATGTCCAAATGGTTCTGCTTCTGCTTCCTTCAAACCATGGGAATGGAATCTTCCCGAACCGGTGTTGTTTGGTCTGTAAGAGAAATTGTTTGTCTCTTTTGTGGCATCTGACCACAAAGCCGAGAACTTTGTGTGATTATCAAACAACATTCGTGACACTGATTGCAGAAAACAGGTGGAATTCGAATTAGCTAATCCAATATAGATTGATATTCATTCGGTACAATACAAAATGCATTAATAGATAACCATAATAAATGTCCACACTTGTCATAAAGCTTCATAGTTTTACTTCTATCGATAAAACCTAGAAAACCAATATGATATAAATTACGGGCTATTAATATATATATATTCTAATTCAAGCAGGTGCCAAGAAAAACCCAAAAGACAAATATTTCTTTGGCGAAAAAAGAGCAACTTTTTTAATAAATTTGACAGCGACTTGGCACTTTGCAGTGTCCTCTAAGGTCTCAAGTGCTTCGACGGGAAGCCTTCGTTTTGGACCTTTGGTTTGCTCCAAAGAAGAGTTTTTTTTTTTCTGCGAATCGCCATGTCAGGATCTCGGAGTTGCAATTCATCTGACGATGAGGTTTGTCTTACTGATCCTTGTCTGTCGTGGGTTTTTATCTCAAATTTTCAGTTCGGTCCGAAGCCATTGTTGATCGCTTATTTCTCTTGGTCGTCCTTGACAAACCCTTAGTAGACTAGTTGAGAAGAGAAAATCTTTCGGTCTGTGACATGCTCCTGGGTTTGATGGTTGCTTATCATGAAATTTGTGTCGTGGGTTCGAGTTATTAGGGTTTTTTTATGTTAATTCGCTGATTGTTAGGAAGAACATGTTCTTGCTTCGTATCTGTTTGATGCTTTACTCTACAGTGACGCTTGCTGCTTCTAGATTTCCTTGTGTTCTCTGTTTCTGATCATTTCATGGCTCTGTTCAACAACTGTTTACTTTATTCTCAAGTTTGATGCTCTTCACCATCTTAGAATGGCTTCTTGTTCTCTAATTTCCGATAATTAGCCAACCCTTTTGCTGAAATGTTTGATCTTTCAAGTTTTGGAATTTCTCGACAAGAATAGAACTGCTTCCTTACCTGCAAGTAGTTTCAGATGTTGTGTTTCTATATTGCTGATTAACGTTCGATTTGAGGTCATCAAGACATTAGAAGTGAAACTCAAGAAGTCCGATAAGATCAAGAGGATTAAAGAATTGATTCAGGAGACAGAAGGAGTTGGGCAAGATTTGCAGAAGATATTGTTTGCAGGTACTCAGCTGAAAGACGAACAGCCGCTAGATCACTACGGTATCCATGATTTCTCCACCCTTCAGGCCTTCATTCCTGGCCCGGAAATGAGCATGTATGTCAAATTACCAGATGGTAAGATCTTCGTCTGCATAGCTAGATGCAATGATACCGTGAAAAAAGTTAAGGACAGTATTCAGTCATGGGAAAACATTCAGCTAGACGGTTTTAAGCTTGTCTGCAATGGGACAATACTGGAAGACGAGTGGTCACTTGCTGCGGCCAATGTCAGGAGACATTCACTTCTCAGTCTAGTTCAATGTCCAAAAGATACAGTATCTGTGTCCGTACATGTTCCGAGCGGGGAAGTCCTGAGGCTGGATGTCAAGCCTTTGTTTACCATCACTGATGTCAAAGAAATCCTCGGGGGAGTGACAGATATTCCCGTCAGCAAACAGAGTCTGTTCATCGAAGGAAAGAATCTCGATAATTGCAAAACACTGGCTTTCTACGATGTCAAAGAAGAAACCATCCTTGAACTCACGTCTTCATTTCAGATATACATTCGACAGTGTAACAGAGAAACATTTACTATTAACGTGACCAAGTATTCTTCTGTCAGGGACGTGATTGATACCGTGAAAGATCCTCACATCTTTAAGCAGCACTTGTATCATGACGGGATTCAGCTCGAGGATTCAAGGACTTTGGTTTCTTACAAGATCAGAGAACACAGTTCCTTGGAATTGGTTCCTTCTTACCAGATATTTGTCAAAACCTTCTATGGAGGAACTGTAACTCTGGATATAAACAAGTACGATAAGTTGCAAGATTTGAAGACGAAGATTTTCTCGAAGCTGAATCTGCCGATTGATCGTCAAGTTATCTTCTTCAAGGGAAAGGTTCTCGAGGGAGAGGGCTATTTGGTGAAATGTAGGATAGAAAAGCACTCCTCTCTTGATCTGGAGCTCACCGTTGTTCGCCAATGATCTCCTCCAATGGAATTTCTCCACCCGAAACTTATCCACAAGTCGGTAAATCTTTTTGTGTTTTGGCTAGTTTGCCTTATTTTAGGTATGCTTCATCTCTTGGAGATGTGAAAGTTAGAGATGAAAATTACTTGTTCCTAGCAGCTTCTATATATGAATCTTGAAAAGAACAATATTTTGCATATATCGAGCCCGACTTATATTTTTCGACAACCAAATCCCAAGAAACTCGTTACAAAAGCATGCCCGAGCTCGAGAAATCTTAGAATGAACCGACTATACAGCAGGTAAGGGAGCATGTTTTTGTTGTTATGGCTCAACATTCAGCAGAGTGGTCTCTCCTCATGCCATGAAGATGTCGATGTGGCGGCATTATCAGTATATGCAAAAGCAAGAGTTTACATCATGAGAAGCGGGCAAAGAATTGCAGTGTCACTCCAGAAGACTCCCTAATGGTCTAAAAGGTTAAACCTCGTGTTCTTTCGTCTTTTTTTATCGTCCTGTCGAAGTGCCGAGACCCGTGAAAGGGCAAACACCCCTCACTGGAATATCTTTTTCATGTGCTGTTCTTGCACGTTCGACAGGCACGGCTTCGCTTCCCCGACCCGATGACCCCTTTGACTTCTTTTGTGTGGTATGCTTTGAGGCTGTAGAATGTTCGGTTTGAGAAGGTAAGTCTAGGCCTGAGCCCGAACCTGTGCTCTGATCTCGATGTTTTCCTCCATTGTTGCGCTTTGATTGCTTTGTCGGCCCGACCCTCGATGGAGAATCCACGGGCGAGTTGCTTGTGCCTGTTGACAGTTTACGCCGTCCCTTCTTCTGTCTCTCGGTTTGGTTTCCGGGTTTTCTGGTCGAACCTGACATCAGCTCTGGAGCCTTAAACTCGTTCATCTGAATCATGACATGACAATACACAGATGAGAGATGTCTGAAACTGTTTCAGCACCGGAATCTTTGACAGCTTCACAACTTTGACGCTATATCATATTCAAATCCAAAGGTATGAACATATATATATTGCTTATTGAATGTGATTATAGTGTAAGATAGTTATATATATATATATAGGTGTATGTATATACCCAGCTTGGGGTGGTGGAAGAGGGCCCTTCCCATCCAATATGAGCGACGTGTTTCACATCGGTAGGTTTCCCGATCTGCATTTCTGGCTCTTTCTCATTTTCTGCAATAGTTTTCACAATATCATAACCAAACAAATCAAAACAAAAAGTTACGATTTCGTGTATGCAGAATCTCGAATTTTTATTTTATGTTCTTACCGAAGATACGAGCGATGTATCTCAAGCCTTTCAAAAGGCCCTTCATTGATGGCTTCTCTTCAAGTTGCCGCTGCAGACCTAACTTGCACGCCAAGAAACACATATTACCACTCTCTCTTTTTTCCTTGTTATGGAAGCAAACCCAAAAAAACAAGAATCATGAGGGAAACCCCAAAAGGATTTGAGATAATTCAGGACATTGTAGCGTCTATATGTATGAAATTTACTTACATTGTTAAAGGCGGCAAAACCCTAATGTCATTGAAAATGATTGAAATTGCTTTCCCAGATTTTCCCGGAAAATTACAGAGAAATCTGAAAAGAAAACAGTTTAAAAGTTAAATCTTTTAATTATCACATATTCAAAGGAAGAACCAAATGAAAACAAACAAGGATTACCTCGATATAAAAATAATTTTAGATCAAAAAGAAGAACGATATTTAAGATTCTTTCTTCTTCTATGAAGGTGGAGACTCAGCAATTCTTTGATAACAAAAATAAGGGAGAGGGAGGGAGAAACAGAAATAACAAATAATTTTTGTATTTTCTCTTTCTTCGAGCCCAAGGCTCTTTTTTGCTGTTATGAAAATGTTTTCCAAGTCTCTTTCACATTCGGACAGTGTGACACGTGGCGATAATCGGTTGGCTGTCAGGGCTGCAAGTCAAAGGACAGCCAGAAGATTTCCCGTAAAATTCTGCGTTACAAAAAAAACTTAATTAGTCCAAAATTAGGGTTTCGATGAGTCATCAATCATACGGTTGACGTTGCTCTGTCATAACGCGGTATAAACTGTTCCGTACAGAACCAAAGAATTATTGACGTCACCTATATATTATTTTCTTTTTCTTTTTTTTTGGTC